GAAACCAAATCCGGCACTGCCTGGAGCCACTCCTCCATGGATCGTGGGTGTTTTCCGCGCGACGCCATTGATGCCCACTGGTGCCCACTGCACGGCGGCTTTCTGCGCGCGTGCGGAATCTGTACAAGGCTGGAGCCAAGGCGGCTTTAAGGGTCATAGACATGTCTGGCTGGGACCCAGCAACGGTGATCTCTGGGAGATGCCCAGGCCTGTCAAGCTGTCAAGCAACTGTTGGCACAAGAAATGAAAGCTACACAAGAGGGAGGCAAAACTCATCGTGTTGTTCGCACCGCTACTCGCCGCTCCACTCGGATTAACAAGGCCAGAGGGACATCTTCCACAGAGAGTGCCCGCTGAACGATCTCCTCCTTGGTGAGGTTGGTGGGTGCCCACATCCACCTGCAAGTCCCGCTGGAGGTCCCTTAATCGGTGCCTATTGGCAGGTGCCAAGCCGCTACTCCAAAGTCGTAAACACCACCACGCAGTAGAGCTGTACACACTTAGCCTGATTCCACAAACTCTCCCAGTACCTACAGCAGTTACCGTTTGACACTGCAAGTCTTTACTTGACAAAAGCCACCACAATATAGATGAACACCAAATGGTCGTTCAAGCTTCTTGACAAACCTTCGTACTCACTCATCCTGGGTATCCCAAATTATCCAAATCCATCAAACTCCTTCCTGGCCTTCCATCTTGCCCCCCATGAAAGAAAGGACCTGCAGGCGGACGCCAACGCCGCCACGGAGTGGGCTTCTCCGCTAGGCTTCTTGGCTGATTTCGGCTTCGCAACGGCTCGGTTTCGGTTGCCCAAGGTCGGTCCCACACATTTCCCCGGTCGGTTCGTTGTTGTTCGGTGTCGGACACCCGCCCCAACGGACACCATTCATCCTGCCGGTCTTGGCGGATGCTCTGACCGTTTTCAGATCCTTGGATGATAATGTTATTCCAAATCAAGGGCAACATTTATTCAGAAACGCCGCACGGCACCAACTCTACATATCTCAACACATTTACATCTGCTTGCCATAACACTCACATACCCATCCAAGTTTGAAGGGAAATGGTTTTGAGTGCGGCCCACTTTGCAACTCCAAACCAGCTGAAGCTTGTCCAGCCAGCTCGCCGGGGTCCCAGGTGTCATGAACAGCCCCGCAATGGATGAGGAGCGTGTGGGACCCACTACAGCATAAGGAAAAAGAACAAAACATATATAGCTTATTATAGCTTTATGGTTAGTAAGGCCAGGAGCCCCTAGTAGCGTCCTTGCTCATGGTTCCATCAAATCATCCGCTCCCCACCTGTATCCTTCGCCCGTACCGTGGGCTCCACTGCGGCCGCCCGCAGCATGGGGTGCCGGATGACGGCCCAATGCAATGCCTAGGGACACAGCACAAGAACAAGGCTACTTTTGCTGTTCCAACTTTCTGTATTTACTCCCAAGTCAAAACTCCTGGCTCAAATGGCTCAAATGCCGAAATAGTGACTTTATGCCTATACCTGAAGCCTCCTCCGCTACAAAACAACAACTGATTTCACAAAGTGCGCGCATTCAAAGTAACAGTAACAAACGCTACAATTGCTACAATCGCACAAAGGCACATGGAACCCTTGCACATCCAACCCATTTTTGGCCGTGCCTCCACACTGGAGACAATACAGCCACACAAGATTCGTACCCTCTGGGTGTAGCACGGGATACCACAAATATGCTTAAAAAACTCGTCACTTGGTTGGTGGTTCGCCACGTTTTCAAATTGCGTGCACTTTGCAGCCATTTGCGCCCATTCCTACGGGCTGCACCTCGCGGCCCAAGACGAACAACACATTGTTTGGGAACACCCTGTCCTCTCCATTGACTTACCACCCAATTTCAGAGCTTTTGGTGGCGGGCCAGTGGAATAAGAAGGTACAAGGGACCTTCGGTCTTCAGCAAGCGCTACAAAATGAAGATTTGGGTATCGGGAGGGTCGGCCAAAATGGTTTAAAGATTTGCAAAAAGCGTGTCAAGCCAGTAGCCTTGGCATCCTACCAGTACCAATGGTCTTAGCACACTCTGGCTATAGTAGTGTCAGGATGCCTTCAGCGTGGTGGAAACCTTCGGGGCTGGGTCCCCTCAAGCTATTTCCATCTCCAGGTGTCAGGTGTCAGGTGCCTCTTCGCACTTGGGGAACGCAACAAAATACTAAGGCGTCAAGGACATGTGCAACACCTCCAAGTTAGCATGATGAAGCATCCAGCAGCGGGAATCTGACGCTTCCACAGTTTGTTGCTATATATTTAAACATCATAAAGTATTTCTTCCAGCTCCAACCATCCAGCTGGCCTTTTCCAACTTCTTCCCATCTGCAACGCCTCGTCATCAAAAATCAAGAGCATAGATGAACAGGATCCCCATGCCGAAACACGTGGTATCATGTGGCCCTCCACAAGCCATGGCATCTGCATCATGAATCATGCATGTCTTCTATGATTCATTGACACCGTCCAGAGCACTGACTATGTACGGAATACAACTGACTACAACATACTACAACATGAGACCCATGCAACTTCAACACTTGACCAGGCAGTTCTCAATATTGACTCCCCAGCAGTAGAAACTCCCACACCGTCCAGGCCGACCCTGAAGAAGTGCCAATGAGGTATGGGTAGTGATCAAGTGCCTCAGCAAAGCGAGGGACAGCCAAAGCATCATCTTCCTCCACGTCGTCCAAATCAAGCATCACAGCATTCATCAAAATTCAACAGACCAGTCTCAGGTGCCCCTCCGGCATTCTGCTGAGCATGAGCTGCTCGGCACTGCCCACTTCTCGCGGCTCGAAGCGCGGCAGCGCACCGCTTCCGCCGCTGCCCAGGGCGCCTGCACTGGAGCTGCGGAAATGGGGATTCTAAGTGAAGTGAACTTCCGGAAAAAGAATTGGGGAGTAGAATTGGGAGTAGAATATGGTGGAATCCTGGCTAATCCTAGTGAGATTTTACATGGTCAAAATCTGACCATTATCTGGTGGTGGTCGGTGGGCAAGCGTTCGTCTCACCCAACCGCAGCCTGTCTCCACATTCTTCAGGGTAGCCTCGGCCCTGCGGCCAGGTACCACAGCTCTGCGGCCTTCCGGCGTCTGGCTGGGTGAGACCTTGCATCTGCAGCTGAGTCAGGTATATCCGTTCATGGGAGACTGGGCCCCACATAATAGATAGAATCAGCAGCAAAACTGGGTAAATGCGTCCAGAAATTGCTGCATGTTCTTCTACATGCGATGCAAATGGCCTACCCTGCTGAACCAAAGCACAAAGCACCACGCAGCCACCATGGTCATTGCACAGCTAATGCCCACCACTCTCGCAGACAAGCATGGCAACCTCCGCCTCAAAACATGGAGTTGGGAGGGGAACTGTTCTTCTGGGTTCAAGCGGGTGCATGTGAGATGTGACCCAATCAGCTGTTAGATCGCACCACTCCCATAGATTCTTTCGTGAGCCCCCAACGGTCGGCCGTTGATGAGCTCTCGACCCTCAAAGGCTTCGATACCCACAATGGCCCCGACAAAAGCAAAGCGTTCAAGTTTGCCAATGGCCACAACGACATGTGAGCCGAAATGCATCCTTTTGGTACAGTACATCTAAATTCGCACACTGAGCACATCTATAGAAATATATGTGTTTGAGAGAGTGCGAATCCACTTGACTCAACGAGAGATTTTTCAATAGAAAAGACGAGAAATGGATGGTATGCCACAACACTACAGTAGTCAACAAACAGGACAAGCTCAAGAAATTCAACACACCATCATCATCATCATCATCATCATCATCATCATCATCATCATCATCA